TTCCCATCCCCGCCCCCATCCCCGTTTTTAAATTTGGGGATTCCCCATCCCCGTCCCCGTMCCCGGTCAACTCGGGGATTCCCCGGTCAAATCGGATACGGGTATCGGATTCCCCATCGGGTGCGGGGTTTTTTGCCATCCCTACCTACTTGGTCCGTCCATCTCTCCCTCTACAAATTTGAATAGACGCGTATTCATTTTTTTTCCAATATTTCACATCTATCCATTCCCAATCATTCATAAGATCGATGTTACAAACCTCAACCATGTCCACAAAATGTTTTCAAATTGGTTTGTGTATATATTCTGTAATTTCCTTTACAAATCAATCATTATATATGTATTTAAATTTAAAAAAAAAACAAACTTATGATAATTTCTATATAAATTTTAATGACAACGAGACCATATATACAATAGTTAAAATTATTTAACTTTCCTACATAATTTGTTGTTGTAATTACAATAATCAGTTAATAACAAAATATAAATATCATAATGAAGTATAATTCATTCATAAAACAGTTGACATTCAATTATGGATGGATTTAAATTTATCACATGACCCTTGTTAGAAAGACATTTATATATATATATATATATATATATATATATATATATTTTCCTTGATTATCATGAATAGGTTGATCATGTATGAGGTTTTTTTTTTTTTTTTTTTTTTTTTTTTTTTTTTTTTTTTTGAGAATAGGATGGGGAAATATGATCATAAGGGTAGTATAGTAGAAGATTTGATGTTACCAAAAATAGAATGCTTTATTCAAGGATAAATCATGCCCACCAAACTTTTACAACTATAGACATTTAATTGTTGTTTTTATGACATATTTATGTATATGTATATCGTTTTTTTTTTTTGAGTGAGGAGCTATTTATATATATCAATCAAAGAGTAAATTAATTTAATGATTTTAAAATCTGATATTAAATTTTTAAAAATTATTGTCATAGAGTATGCTATTAATATGCAATTGATGAATGATGCAATGGCTTTATGGAAGCTTTTTGTGATCCTGAAATTTGGTTGCACCAAACTTAGAAGCATATTGGTTTTTAGATTTTTTAATTAATTTTCTAGTTTTATTATGGTTTAGATTAGAATTAGATGTATATAAGCATGAGCAGTTGAGAGGATTTGAAACCCATTACATGATTTTTGTGTGTAGGTCGTGGGCAAGGAGGGAGGAGACATTGGAAAGCAAAATAAGTGTTATTGGAAGGTGACAAAGAGACAAGAAGCTGGCATTCACCAATTTCACAAACCTTCATTGAATGAATCCATATATATATATATATATATATATATATATTATAACCATGCATCATCAAACTCCTTAATTACCCATTATGTAATTGATTAGCCATACATACATAAACTTGTAAATTCGTATGTTTGATTTGTCATAATTTTTAAACCTCCATTGCAATGTGATATACGATGTTATATCTATGCTGTTTTTGATATGTTGTGATGAGGGATTAAAGTGTGATACAACATTTGCTATTTGCTTCATACATATTACTACAAACCATTTAAATATCATGAAAAACATTTAAAGACGAATAGTAGTTAATTAGAATTAAAGGTGAATGTAGACAATATTTATAATTTATCCAAGAGGGATTTATTTTGATTGTAAGTGGTACTTTTTGAGGCATTTAATTTCAACAGCAAGAGGCATCCCTTCATTCAACATGGGATCCATTAAGGCTGAGAGAAGTCACATGTTGAAGGATCGGAATCCGGACCCCACCATTCTCTCGTCTCTCTCTGGATGTGTCTGCGTTACGACTGCTTCCAACTACGCTGCTGCTGCTGCTGCTGCTGCTACGACCTTTTAGTGGAACAAAGAATCATGCCAACCAGCTCATCTCCATCATCTCTTTCCACTATTTCATTTCAGTTAGGGTTTTCAAAATCTTGATTTAGTAGGAAGAAGAAGAAGAAGATCCGGTCCCACCCCATTTCCACCACTTCTCCGCAATAATTTCCTCCATACAAGCAATCTCTTTCTAGATTCTGTTTATCAACACCCTGCGTCTTATTCTTTCTTTCTTTCTTTCTTTTGCATGCTCCCAAGTTGGTAAAGTCTTCTTTTCATTTTCATTTTCATTTTATCTATCATATATACCATACACATATTCAAATTATTCGAAATTTTGTCTCCTTGTCTTGTGGGTAGGCTCTGTTTTCGAGGCAGCATATACAGCTCCTCAAAATATTTTACAGGGAGCTTTCATATCAATGTTGCGGGTTGAAGAAATTTCCCATCTTTGGTATGTAATCTTGATTTTTGTGGTTAGGTTTTTTTTTGATATTTTCTTGTGTGAATAGCTTTCTTTCTATCCTGTTAGTTTGAGGTAATAATTGAGCTGTTGGATTAGTTGAAATTTCGATTTGATTTGATTTGCTACTATCCCGATTCCAAGCCCTGGAACCAGCTTCCACCAATATGCCATCAGATATTCGTATTGTTGTTTTGGTTTCTTATTTACTTTTTTTTTTTTTTAATATAAATTAGTTTGGTTTGTTAATTACATGTTTCTTTTAATATAAATTAGTGTTGTTGAGTTAATTGATTCATGCCCTTAATTCAAGGAATACAAGTTTTGGTAATCAACTCATGACTTTCTGGTAATGGAACGACCGCTGGATTTGCTTATAATCTCAGCATAATGTTCTTTTTGGCATATTGAGAGATATTGTTGCTTGCCTTAGAGAATCTGATAGTTGCATTAGTAGAAGCTTGGTAGGTGTCCTATCAACTACCTACATTATTCTACATACTATTATGTCATCCAGGGTTGGTAGAATCAAACCGATATTGAATTGTTTTTTCTTTTTGCTTATTAGGACTAATAAGAGAATTTTTACATGACTTTCTTGTAATTGAATTGGAAAGAGCAATTTGTGGCTTTCTTGTGTCCTACAGATACGAACCTGTTTGTTTGTTTGTTTGGCAGTAGCTCTGAATTTCTTATACTTGATATGCTAATGAATAGGGGACTTGATAACAAGTTGTAATTTCTTCCTTTGGGTGTCTTTTTGTCATATGCAATATATTAACAACCATTATATGCCTGACAGCTTACTCTTGACGATTCTAGATACAGTTTGAAGCCTAGTCTACTACGTTTGAATGTAGAATATGTGAAACATTTTCCTACCTTAGAGTATCTCATCCGGTATCCATGTCAGATAAGATGGATAATGCAATTGTGCATGCAAAGATTGTTGGCTACAATAATGGAAGTCCACTACAGGCACCAAACAAGGATTTTGAATCATCGAAAGAAGATTGCTTGTCTGAAATAATGCCAAGGGAGGTAAATCCTGGAGATGTATTGCCTTCAAGCCTTAAGAAGTTACAGATCAGTGATTTTTCCACACAGAAGTTGTTTCTTCAACACATGTCTGGCTTAAAGAAGAGGATTCCGAAGCAAATCATGAGTCTGGAGGAAAAATACCTTCGCCATTGCCTTGAATTAATCCATACGAGCGCCATGAGAGCAAATTCTTGGCCTATGCCATCGAAGGTCAACTTGTTGCCTGATGGTTTTAGTTCTAGAGTAGTCGGTGGTGGAAGTGGTTGTGATGCTTTGTTTTTATTTTCATCTGGGGCTGAAAATATAGTCATAAGCTCTTCTTCTATGGATCCAATTGTTGGTTCGATCACAGGAAGCACAAGCATGATAAATCTTTTAAGTAGTCCTTTACTATGCCAATTAGGTGCCTCTGATGATGATATCAATTATGGGAACACAAGTGCAATGGATGTTAGAGAACCCTTAAGTTCTGTTGGCACAAGCTCTCTTGGTGGGTTATCTCTAGATTCATCAGAGGGTCTACAAAAGAAAAGGGTAGTACCTGAAGATCAAAATTTTGGATCTGAGCCTGTGCACAAAAGGCTTGTTTCGTTGTCAAGCACAAACTCCACCTTCTCAGATCCTTCTTCTTCTTCTTCTTCTTCATCATCATCCTCATCTTCCAGTGCCTACTGTCAAGGCATGCTCCACTGCTCATGGAATAATGGATTTCCCCGTTATGTTTTCTCTGTGGAGGACCAGAGAGAAGTTTATACAACAAATCTGTCCAAAGTTGAGTCCCTTAGGGATGAGGGGTTGGATTATATTTACATGTTTCATTCTAGAGCTGGAAAAAGGGAAAATGAAATTCATGATGAAGAGTCGGATCTTGTGGGTAAAATGAGTGTGTCTACCTCTTTCACACTCTGTCCATTTGGAACAGAAATTATGGAGACTCAGTTTAGTTTATGCGCCACTGGGCATCATAGTGAAGGGGGTTTACATACTTTAAATCAGACGGTTAGGAAGAACAAGGGAATATCAAAAAAAGTGGCCAACATTTTTAGAGGAAACCACTCTTATAGGCAGGGGACTTCCTCTAAATTTGACGGGTCATTTGTAATACAAGACAAGTCGTTAGAGCCAAGCAAGGAAGGGGATGTCTTTCTGGAATCCAGCTTTCCTTCAAATCTCGAGTTAGCTGCTATTGTTGTAAAAGATCATATTCCTTGCAGTCAAAAGAAGGTAGAAGTTGGAGGTTGGGGATTAAAGTTTCTCAAAGAAGATGGGCATAGGAAAAGTAATGCCTCTCCAGCGACACAATCGATACCTTGTGAACCTTGCCATCATTGTAGTAGTATGGATGTTCTTGTCCCAGCCGATTTTCATGGTGGGGCCAAAACGAAAAGCGGAGGCCCTTCTAGCCTTGTTGAAAGGTGGAGGAGCGGCGGCTCTTGTGACTGTGGTGGCTGGGATATCGGCTGCCCACTCACAGTACTTAATGCAGGGCCAAATAACAAAGATGACTTGTATCAAGTAGGTGTTTTTGGGAAGAGCAATTCATTCGAACTATTTACAAAGGTATCATCTGCACTCTATGCTCTATTAATGTCTTCTCTATTATGCTGTCTTGCAAACCTTTTATAGGAAGAATAGAAAAAGGAAGATGCTTGATTCAAAAGTTTCCTTTTTCTTTCCCAGCTTCCCTGTTTTTGGTTATGCTCATCGTTTAGAATGCAATCTAACAGTTAATTCTGATACAAGACTTGATATATGCAAACATGAAGGTGCATATTGCAACTCTTATTTATTGAGATTGTGTTTGTGTTTTCAGGGTTGTAAGCAAAGTATGCCGGTTATAGAAGTGAAGAATGTCCATGATGGTTTGTATTATATCCAGTACCAATCAGCTCTGTCTGCTTTGCAGTCTCTTTCAATTGCTGTGGCAATAGTTCATAGTCACAGTCCCACCCTCAAACCTAAAGTATATAGAAATTGAGCTAGTTTATGTTCTCTTATGACTACCAAAGCACACATGATTAGGATTTTGTCTTGTGCTGTTGATTCTTCTTAGTTGCCTGCAAGTATACTCGATTGATGCAAGATTCCTTTGCTGCAAAGCAGATTTGTAATACAAGTGGATTGGGATATGTTGTTGTTTATGGTTTGAAAAGATTGATTGGTGGCTAGTATAGTAGACTAAATAGGTATCTTGGTATTGCTTTCATCCATTTATTTATTCATCTTGGAAGATGATTTTAGTATGGAATGGGATGATCTTGTTTACAAGTCTTTTTGTTTTGCTGTGTAATTCTAGAGTTAAACATGTATGGTGAAGTGGAAAAGCATTTGAGAGGAGGGATGTCAAGGTTGCTACTTTTAGAAAGATGCAATTTTACGTTCAAACACAAAATGGATCAACATGAACCCACCCGTTTTTGTCTACATTTTTTGTACTGATGGTATGATCATTTATTTGCATAATCAATTTTAATAACAAGATTTTCTATAACGATTTTATGTTTTATACAGAAAATTCAATATGTCCAAATATAATATAGTGTTAACTTTATTCGGTTAAATTAAAGTTATGAAAATATGGAAGAAACTATATATATATATATTTTTTGATGTCATTAAGAGAAAATTTATGGAGATAAATAATTTATGATCATCGTCCTTTTGTACTCTTGTTGTGGTAATCTTTTCATTTTCTACTTCACCTTTTACATTTCCTCTTACATGAAAGCATCTTCTTAGGGTAAGAAACTCGATTTCTGCAGGTTGAAGAAACGTGCTTTTCAACTTCATACTGTCCCTATTTAAAATACTTTAAATGTTTCTTGATCGAATCCCCATGGTGTCAATATTTCGAATCTGGGTATTTTTCTTTAGTTTTGCTCAATCCAAACCCTCAAGTTGTCTCCCAAATCTTTGGAGACTGGTCTTATCTCAAGGTTTCTTGAGCTAAAAGAAAATATTATTTTGATAATATTTAATGGTATTGTGGGTGGAGCTGAGCATTGGTGGACCGATTTGACACTCAAAAAGGAGCAACGATTTTGGTCTTAGCATTTGAATCACCAGCTTTTGAAATTACTCTTGGGTTTTTAGTATCAAGAAACTTGTTCCATCAAATTTCCGAGTTAGATTAATCTCAACATTAGCATACATTTAAGATGATATATTCTTCATCGTTTATTTTTCATATGAATGATGATTGAAATATGTCAAAATATGATATACGGATCAAATATAGAATACATTTGAAACAAAATTAGGCTTTTGTGCAACCTCATGCATTTATGTCTCTCTCCTCTAATCTCACGTTGTATTTGATTTTGGTCTGTTAATATCGAAGTAACTTGTTCTCCCTGCCATTTTCATCTAAATGGAAATTAATTATTTCCTGAAGTTTTTTTTACTTGTATTGGTGGTGTGCATGGTATTCATTATCTTCATGTAATAGTTGTAATCATGTAACTTGTTCGAGTTTAATCTGAAGCTTAAGTAGGTCACAATGATTATGAGACAAGAAATAGAAGACTGAACCAGTTTGATGTTCCTATTCTCTTCATGCTTCTCCTGGATCTCTTGTTTTTCCTTATGTTGCATTGTTCACACAGCTATATAAGTGGTTAAGGCAACAACTATGATGTGATGCTAGTTTAATATTATCCCTTCTTCATATGTTTAAAATACCTATTCATATCTTGCTTTCTTCATTGTGTAGCTTCGCCCTGTTGTACTTACTCATGGCACCTTCAGGAGTAACTTGGAAAAGAACTGCAAAAGCATGCAAAGCAATGAAGCCTTTCGGCATATCTGGAGAAATTGTAAAATCAACATTGAAGCGCCTCCTAGAGGCATATGAGAAGAATTGGACGTATATCGAGGAAGACAATTATAGGGTGCTTATAGAGGCTATTTTTGAACCTGAGGTACCTAAGGTACTCAAACAGGATAAATTTGGTACATTTTTATCCTGCATGAAAGTTTTTTTTAACTAAAGGATATATATATATATACACACTTGGTACTTACTTTCTTATTACCACTGTGTGTTATTATGTTCAAATATACAACACTAGATTGATGCCAGGCTTTGTCTCATCGGTAGGATATTTTTAGTGTGTGACCTGATTTGCTAACCTTAATCTATTGCATGTAGACAATGGACACTACAAAAATAGACTTCCACTTACGTGATGAGTCTGAAGAAGAATCTGAACCACTAAAAAAGAAAGCTCGATTGGGAAGCCAAAGCAGATCTTCATCCCCAGCTGGTACTTCTATCCCATGCTTGAGCAAGTATGCATCAGAAATGCAACAAATGGTAGAACCTGATAGTGGGATCATAGACATCTGTTAAGTCCATCAAAGTGAAGGGAAGAAACCAATTCCCCTTGCTGTTATTCATCCCGGTACATTATTCCCTCATCTTATCATCTCTTCAACAATTTCAAGTATCAATTGTGTAAGAAACACCGTCTCTTCAAGAAACATGGGAGTGTATACATGTCTTTTTCCAGATATAGCATAGGGAAAGATATAGAACTAACTATAACGTTAAAGAATACAATATTTGCAGGAAATCATGTCCTTATGTAAATACTAATAACCAATGAAACATCAGGGGTATGCTATTGTGCAGATGGAAAGGTCTTATGCCCTTGGGTACCATGTCTTGGAAAAATTAACAAGGAGATCTTGAATTTGATTTGGATCTGTTTTAATTTGAGAAAGTTGACCTGTCTATCTCTTTCTTCATGCTTTTGATACAGTTTTAAGGTGGAAGGGATTAAATTCTTAATCTCTGTTTGGATTTTTCTTTGACAATCAAATGTCACTGTGATTGCTGAATTTGTACAAATTCTTTTAAAATCAAAACACATGTTTCTAACATCTACTTGATGGCAAAACATAACTTTAACCAATTCTTTTTAGGTTGCTCAAAGTAACTAGGTATATGTTGTTCATGTGGGATTATTTATCTGGGTGAATTGTCTCATCACTTCATGACAACCTACATCCTCTTGATAACCTAGAGGTGATGAGTTCAAACCCCACCCTTGGCATATGCAGTGAATGACCATGGGTGCGACAGTGGGCGTGTGGCAAAAATCTTCACTCTCGCTGGCATGGTTTTCCAAGTCTTTCTAAAAGTATATGTATGTGTCAGTTTATTAGGCCCACTAGCTCCCATGTTTGATTTAATATTTAACTGGTTTTTAAATCTTATGGTACTATCACAAGATTGACTACAAGCAATGAGGGAATCTTCTGCTTGTTCTCGCTCAGAAACTAATCTTATCTTGAATCTAGAAATAAGACCGACAGTGGGTAGAGACGTAGAAACTTAGAACTCTCGTTTCAGCAAGGCCCTCTTCAGTTTTCTTTTTGTAGAATTTGGTTAGTAGTTTATCCGGGAGTTGATATATTCATCTTATCTGTTTGCTTATTGTTGCAAAAAAAAACCTCATGGTGTTGAAATTTATAAATGCACTTGCATTTCTAACCTGTTGTTTATTTCATGTTTATACAGATCCTCCTGGACGTTCATGTGAGAATGATTCTTTGCCCAAAAGCTTGGTGGAAGGAAACAAATCGTCGGCTCTAGCATATAACAATTTAGACAATAAGGGAAATGAGAATGAGAATGTATCACCATGTTCATCTGAGATTGAGATAGCTTCCTTTTTCAATGGGGAAGTGAAATTATCCTTCTCCATATGTAAACCTCCTCCAATATTCTGTATTCCAAGTCTTGAAGCAGTTATGAAGCAAGTTGAGGATAGGTATCGAGAACTATTCCAAGGTCTTGGAACTGAGTTCTCTCTTTTTGGGCTTCTACAAGATATATGTGCAAGTTTCATGGAACAATGGAATGCTTCAGAAGGTAACAAGCAAAATAGGAGTCCAACTTTTGACAACTTGAAGGAACCTGAGAAACAAGTTGATCAGTCAGGCTTGTCAAATAGGCTAGTAGCACACACTAATCCCATTGATGGTCCGATCCAGATCCCGAGAGCCGTAGTTTCAAGTGCATTCAATCATCTTCATTGTGTTAAAGTTCTGCACTCTGATGGGAATTATTTCAGTGGACGGTTAAGGGAGCTACAGATGCTTGACATTGATGAATTCTCTGGTTCTAGTAGTTTGACTATTTTCCCAAAGGAGAACTCTTCAGTTTACCTTTGCAGCAACCATCACTCAGTGGCTGATATAACTCGAGGTTTGGAAAAACAAGAAATCTCATTGATTAATGAATTCAATGATGAGATGCTACCTGCCTTCACTTACATTCCCAAAAATGTCAACTACAAGACTGCTAATGTGAATTTTATGCTTTCTCGTGTATCGGATGGAAATTGTTTCTCTAATTGCTTTGGTGATTGTTTGTACCCTGAAGTACCATGTGATTGTGCTGCTGAGACTGGAGGTGAGGTTGCATACACGACTGAAGGTTTAGTCAAGAAAAAGTTTCTTAAAAGATACACCTCCATTAGTCTGAACCCCAAAAAGATGAACTATTTCTATTGTGACAATTGCCCACTTGAGAGGATGACAAAGAGGGCCCAATCTGGTTCATGTAGAGGCCATTTGGTGAGAAAATTTATAAAGGAATGCTGGTATAAATGTGGTTGTGTCTTGAACTGCGGAAATCGGGTTGTTCAAATAGGAATTAAAGCAAAGTTGCAGGTTAGTTTCTACTTTAAGATGTAAATGTCACGAAATGTTCCATTTCTGATCGCTAAGAATTTCTTCTATTTTTCCAGGTTTTTATGACCCCGGAAGGAAAGGGTTGAGAACTTAGAACTCTTGAGGACTTGTCTAAAGGGACATTTATATGTTGGAGAAATCGTAATAAATAGTGAGTGATTCCAGCGAAATGAACAAAACAAGGATGAGAAACATACATACCCTGTCGTATTGGATGCTAATTGGAGTTCAGAAGGTTTCTTAAAGAATGAAGAGGCCCTTTGTTTGGATGCAACATCTTTTGGAAATGTCGCACGGTTCATTAACCACATGTATGCTTTCTGTTTTTTTCCATGTTACACAATTGATCTTTTTGCAAAACTAATCTTATATTCGATCAAAACATCCCTTATGAAGAAAAGAGAAAAAAAGGAAGGGCAAACAGACTCGAATAACAGGAGCTTTTCTTGGATAATTGTTAGCACGAATATAACCCTTATTCTTGATATATGGAAGAGGTTTAATGTTCTCTCAGTTTTGTGGCATTGAACTCATGACGTAGGACATTAGTTGTATCATCTGTTGTACTTGTTTGTTCCAATTAAATAGTATTATCATGATGCTATATGGAATACAATGAGTGCTGGTGAAGTTGACTGCACAATTGGTAAATTTGCAATTCTACTTTTGAGCCAAAAATAGGCATTCCCTATTTGTTTGGAGTTATGATTAAGGTTGTTTCTTCTACCTTTATGTCATATTCTTTTACTGGAAGTATGTTTGATTGGTAGATGTGTGGATGCTAACATGGTTGAGATCCCTGTTGAAGTGGAGTCACCGGATCATCATTATTACCATGTAATGCTTTTATATTTGTAGTGGCTTGTAAACGTTTATTTTGTTGGATAACTTGATTGTACGAATATCTAGTTTATCTTATGGGATATCAACTTTAGTTTTTGAATGTGCAGCATGCTTTTTTCACGACTAGGGATGTAAAGGCAATGGAGGAATTAACTTGGGTAAGTAGGCATTGGCATTGGCATGTTAGGATGATGAGTTTTGATTGATGTCTGGTGAATGGATGTAGGGGTATGGTATTGATTTTGGTGATGATAGTCATCTGGTCAAGGCATTCCAGTGTAAATGTGGAAGTAAATCATGTAGGAATATCATCAAGACACAAAAGGCGAAACTCGTAAGTTAACATTTCACTCTCATTCTATATTCATTCATTAATAAACAACAATTGCACTCTCTGGATTACACAAAGAAATGTTATTTTTTTATTTAAAGAATAGATAAAGATGGTTTCACAGAGTTATGTTTTGTAGAATGGCACAAGAAGTAGAAACTAATTGCGAGGAAGAAGTATGTATGGAACATTACTACGGAGGTGAAACTTTTGAAAGAAATGATATCTGAATTCTAGTTTTAGTTAGCTACAACATGATGGTTGGTGTTGCAGTATGATGCATCATCTCCTCTTTTGATCCAAAACACATTCTAGGGTCTGTATAAAACCTCATCGAAATCTCATATATTTGTATCCCCTTCCTGTTGGGAATGGATGTCTAGCAACAAACCAATGATTTCATGTCCGAAAGTAAGAATGAGATGAAATCAAAGTCGTATACATTGGAATGTGGAGTATATTGTGGATAGGTGTTAGTTGCCAAACTATTACGATACTACCGGTTCTATTCTATATTATATATGTATGTCTAAATAATGTAATAGAATTATTTCATTCTAACAAGTAACAAACATCATTTTAACTAGTAAGTGATGGGTGGATATGATATGTATGGTTTTTGTTTCGAAGGAAATACAATCCTTCTAAAAATTAAAATGTTGATCATGATATGATATTGGAATGGAAAACATACAGATCAGATCCAATCCAATCCAATGGAAGGAATACATTCATTGCCATTGCCATTTACATTTAATATAACTAGAAGCATACTCGCGCAATGCAGCGAGATACATCATGATTTTAATATTTCATTTTCTTCTTTATCTCAGTCGATATTATAATATGGCTTTATGTGACTTTGAGAAAGTGATAATGTTTTTAATTTTGAATAAAATATATGTTTGAAGATATCATAAAAATTTGACAAAAATATATCGA